TATATACATATACGTATACAAGGTGTCTGAAACTAATCTCGGTTCTCGTGGTGTGAACGGGTGAAACCAGAAGCAGAAAAATTACGTACCATTTTGCAAAATTCAACACCTTAAAAATAATTATGATAATAAAAAAAGAGGTAATATCTTTTTTCACTGTTTCTATAATCAGATTTCCTCGATGAAAGGAGAATTACCAGTGCGATGCGGTAAAATGAGAATTACAAGGCCCGGTCTTTAGGGATCGTCCGATAAAACGAACCGTTTCTCTGATTATCGTCCTCTCCGTCGAGTATACGTACGTATCGCTTCGTTAGCCGGATTTCGGAACACTTTGGGGACGCATTTTTTTCCTACGGCGCAGGGACTCCTCGCGCTGAGACATTCTACGTTCTTTAGAACGCGCGCACAAAAGCCGCAGCGCACAACAAAGTACGATTCCTATCACGCCACGGTGATTCGAGCCGGACAGTTCAAGAATCTCGATGGAATTTTGTAACGTTTCACGGTAGACCGACGAATTTCAGGCAACTAGGAGTAGCAGAGATAGGCAAGCCCGATCGGATGAAGCCGCGGTCGAGTCGTGCGCAAGGAAATTCGAGATATCCGCGCGTCAGTTCATCGGACAAACGATCCTGCCCCCGGTGCACACGATGCGGTCGATCGGACATACAGGGTGTAGTCGTTCGTCTTCGCGATCGCGCTGTCAGATTCTCCGATTAATCAATTCATAGGCGACTTTTGCTCGTATCGGAAGATCGATAGCTTCTCGCAAATTGAGCAGCGGAGATGCAACCTCCTATTCTTCGTTAAATTATGAGTTCGTTTCGTGCAACGGAATTTTGACGCCGAAATGTCGAGAGAGATATAATTCTCGCGTGATCGACGAGATCGATTGAGAAATCTCGTTGCGCAAATTTGAGAACACCCTGTATACCCTGTGCGCCAGGTGCGCACGAAGCCCCGATCATGATGCCCGGTTGATGGGGCACGAATGCGTTGCCGACGCGTTACTGACCTATCCTCACTGGGTGCCGCACAAGTAGGGTTCATTCGCAGCGGTCACGTGCGGTGTCGTGGATCTCGTTATGAGAGTTGCTTAAGCATGGCGAGCGTTTACGTAATTAGCGCGGTTTCCCCGATATAACGATGGGATCGGATTATTCGCCGTGCGTGTTATAAAAATAACAAGATGCAAATTTATGGTGATTACGAAGTTTATTTATTCATGACGGCATTATCAATGCAGTACCATTTATTTTCGGAAAAGAAGAAAGCTATTTTCAATAGACACTGTCCGGATAATAAAGTAAGAGTAGACGTCGGAACGTCGGGCCGTGAAATATTCGACGCGGTAATCCGATGCGTCGATTAGCCGCGCGCGCGAATTTTCATTTCGCACATTGGTTAATGAAAAAATTCATTGTAGAGCGGCGATTTTTTGACGTATGGGCTACTTGTTGCGCATCTACCTACGATCTCCAATTAGCCTAATGATTTTTCAATTAACCGTTCGATTCGAGACTAAGCACGCTTTGACGACCGATATTTTTCTACCGGATAAAGCGAGAATAATTATTATACCCATGATTTTTTCGCTCGATTCAAAAGAGGGAGAGGGATCCATTTGTGTGCGATCACGGACGATATAAGTTTAAATACAGAATACGGCGATCGAGACACAGAGCTCGATATCGATGGCGGGGAAATTCATTATCCTACGGCGCACGACTCGCACGAAGGTACCTGCGTTTGATGTGGGCTTTATTGCGAGAACGATAAACGTCCATCGTGATTCAGAGCCGATATGTCGGGGTACGCTATTATGGAGTAACCGCGCGCGCGTCGAGCTTGCACGCCGATGGCGAAGGGAGAGAACGGCTTAATGGAAGAAACAAAGCGCGGCGCGCCGTTATAGGAAGTTATTATACCCACCCACTCCCCTTTGCCTCCGTTTCATCCCTTCTATACGTATATTTAGCGCGGCCAACTGGCGTGGCCGTCGGCGATACACTCGATTTGGCATTCAGCCACTGTTCCCACGCGCGCTATGACGTCGCAAGGCTGCGTTATCTAACGCAATGCCGCCGTTTTTGTTTCGCGCTTTTAACGTCACATTTAACATTGTTCCGCGAACGACCCGAGAGTGCGCGTTGCTTTGACAGAGACACGCACAAGATGGGGTCTCTCTCGGAGGGAGATGCTTCGTCTCCGTAGATCAAATTGAACAATGAATACACCCGGGGAGGAAATGGGTAACGCATAATCAATTGGATTGGTATAGAATGAGCGACTACATAATCGACAGAATGTAAATTGCGAATTAAATCGAAGGTAGCGTCTCGTTAACCGCGGCGACGTTAGCCGCATACGACTTTTCCTTCTCTTTGTGAACCGGGAAAAATAAGAGAAAGAATCTTAGTGGCGAATCGCGAGGAAATCGTAACGTGCGAGCGACGAGCTCGGAAGGCGTGCTTCTGCGGGAAAGTCGTAACTTGGCAACAACGCGCAACTCGCATCGTATCTACTGCACTTTACTGCATCGCGCTAGGCAACATCGCAACAGCCGTCCGACGCGGTGCACGCGTGGATCGTTGCGTGAACGTGTCGTCAGACTGCCCGTATGGAGGTGACGCGGAGTAGAGTAGGGGAATGTGTGTGTATGATGGGATCTTTACGCTCGACAATAGCACGCAGGGGTGAAAGGACGATTTCTCCCTCCTCGCAAATCAGGTGGTCGCGCGCGCCGTCAAGGCTCCCGCGGAGAGACATTTTCAGCGGGAAACGTGCTTTCGCTCTAATTAGCCGCGCGCGCGTTTCACCTTTTCTCGCATGTCTGTCGTGATTGATAACTTATCGTAGATAAGTAGATACTTAGCCGGGCTTTGCCCGTTATGAAACTTAAACATGCGTCTCGTTGAAGTTTTGATAACGTTTAATGATCGCATAGAATGTCTATTGATTCACCGAGTTGTATTTCTTGAAATTCTTCTTTTCGTGATGCGATGCACAAACGTTCCGTTTTGTCAAGGACGGTTCTTCTCAAGATTTTCTGAAGAATTGCACGTCATGCAGAGTGTTTCAAGACCTTATTTGTTTATCGTTGTAATTATTTTAACCGGTGCTGCTATTCGAACACTTTCGCGAAAGACCCGAATAGAGGCCGAGGGGTACGATTTGGGTCATGACCTACATTTTGTAGTCCCCTCCGCTCTTCCCATCCTTATCTTCGTCTATCTGTCTCCATCTGCCCCTTCCACACCGTCTGTAATGCTTGCTCGCGTTAGCTCGACGTCATACGTTATAGCGATCGAGCATCTTACGTACACGTCGTACTTAACAACCGCTATACATACCGGAATATAAATGATCATTACTTCGATTTACGACGTTTATCTTCGCTCGTTATCAACGTAATCGTCGCAGCCGCATCCTTTCGCAATGTTAATATCTTAACATAACGTGGGAATTCGCGAAGTGATATGACGTCGTAAAATTCGAGATTGTCTTGAATTATTGCGCTGTGAATTATTGCGCATGCATAAGTGAGATTATTAATTAAATGGTTTGATTTTATTTTGGGACCTCGAGACGTGATATCAAACGTATCCTTTATCCCCATGTATAAACTTTATTAAGTTTTCGAAAGTAATTTTTGCAAACGAATATAAGAAGACGTAACATATAAAAATATAATGCTTGTGAAATTTTTGGAAAATATCTCTTCTATAGCGAGTATTACGATTACTATGACGCTTTTGCTACGTCGAAACATCAATTATATCCTTTGCTGAAAATTTCAAACGCTTTTGGGAAGTGAAAGACCACACGAACTTGGCAAAGTTTCGCGTCGGATACTACGTGTTTGCCAAACTTATTCGGCGTCCACTTTGCTGCACAAAGGATATTGCGATCGTCGCGAATTACAACCTTTCAGGGTAGGGCGTTTGTCATTTTCGCGGAAAATCAATTTCGGGGCGTGCTTGCTGCGAGCGTAGAAATGAGTTTACCGTACCGACGAGAATACCTGAACAGACGACCCTATCGTCGCACTCTTATGCGAACAAAAGAGAACCGCTTCCCTGACACGGCACGGATATTTTATTCCATTCTCTTGTACGCGTCGTCGCCTCTTCCGTATATCGTCGCGGAAACGGTGCCGTGAAAATCTCGAAATTGCTCACTGCCGCGACGGTCGCTTTAAAATTATAAAGCGCCGTGAGTAAAGTTTCTGCTGCTCCTATTACCGCGCACCGGCGGATGTTGACTCGGTTAACATTACATCACCGGGAAAAATGGTAAACGAGCGAAGGTACGGCTGCGCGGTGTAACTATTTCGATGAGTTTTCCGCGGTTTTTACGGAGATCGCGCGTCTACTATATTCTCGATAACAACGTTACCGTTAAAGATCGGACACGGTAGCATCGTGTCCACGATTGACCGATCGGACGTCGAGATTAGGCCGGTAAATTCCAAAGCCCGGCAACCCGATATTTGAATACCGGAGGTAACGAGGCATTTATGCACGCCGAATATTTAAGTCGGTTAAATTTAAGATGAAATAATCGGGCGTACGCACGTGTACCCCGTAATCTCTCTCAGATCATAGCCGTAGATACCGCGATGAGGATACCTGTTATTCGGGCTGAGTCCTTTTTCTAAAATACCATATGCGCGTCAGACTTATTATAGACCACACGCGTGCTTTTTTTATAAATACTAAGTATACAGACTCTAAATTCACGAGCAGACAACCGCCCGTCTCCGAGAGGAAAGACAGGGATATCGACGATCGCGGCGGATCGTGTCAATTTCTCGCTATCGCGAGGTCGGATTTGGCGTAACGAATAAATACCGATAACTTACCGGAAACTTTCGCGCGGTCGACCGGCTGCGCGACGGAGGGAGGGAGATTCGCGATGCTAGCGGGGATAGACGCAAGAGTGCGGGAGGTCGAGCGTTACGTTGGGAAGAGAGAGAGAGGGCAGGAACGGCATGGGAAGGAGAGACGTCGAGGGATGGGGGAGAGCGCGCTATCGGCGAGCACCTCGGCTCGACCGAGTCGGCCGCCGTCGGCCACGATCAGCGGAACGCAGTTCGTATCGGACCTCCGTCGTAGTCGGATCGTAACGTTCTGTCGCGCTGTGCTCCGTTTTCTTTCTCTCTCTCTTTCTCTCTCCTCTCTCTCTCTCTTACCTTTCTTTCTCCTCCCTCCCTCCCTCCGTCTACCCGCCTGCTCCCCATCAACGACCACCGAGTTCCACCCAGCGGGAAGCAACGGAGCTTTTCCTCGAACAAGGCGCGGTGTGCGCTCGTGTGTGAAGTGTACCTCGCCGATTGAAAGGTGCGACGGAAGGAGCCGTGTGTTGTACCGCGAGTCGGCAGCACGCGTGGAGGTGAGGCGCGCGCGGTATATGCTGTCATCCGCGCCGCCGTCGATGCGAAAGCGTGCGAGAATACGAGGTCGCGTGTGAGGGAAGGTCAGCCGTTTATCGCCTTTGTGCGGAGTCGGGAAATATCCGTCGATATGCATGCGCGCGAATTTTGTCGCGGAATATTTCGCGCAACTATAAACGCGCTCCTTTCTCATAGTCTTATGCGCGGTGAGTCGCGTCCGGTCGACGCCGATTCCTCGGTTCTCGCGGCGAACGTCACGCGCGATAAGCGACATAAAGCTGACTTGGCGCGTCCTTACAGAGAGATTATTGCCGCTCGTCGTGACTCGGCTTGTTTCGACGAAAGCGCGCGAAACGAGAATTCTTGCGCTTTCGATGTTCGTTTGTTCGCGCGTCGTCGAGCAGATTCCACGTGACAGGAAACGTCACGGGTGTTATCTTGACGAGTCATCGGCGCTGCTTGAAGATTTCGTTTCCACGCGATGGGCGAGTTCGACGGGTTTGTCAACGCGTCACGCCGATGCGATCGCGCACGCTCGCTTGCGCCTCGAAAAAACTCTCGTCGCATCATATCTGACGCGCATCTACGTCTGAGTCATCGATGATCTTCCACAAGGTCGTCTCTGACGCGCTCCGAAACTTTCGTTCTCAAAAGTTCAGCCGAGTCCAACGTCACTCGTCCAACGAACGCGACATTTCGCAAACGAATACAGCTACTTGGCATTGAACAATTGTTTAAACAAAAACGCCTGGCAACGCGTCATCGGAACTGTCAATAACGAAACTTCAAGTCCTCCACCGTTTCGTTCGCTCGAACGTGTTCACAGTTTTCGGCGACGCACGCACTTGTTTTACGTAACGAAAACGCGTCGGGAGAAGGTTCGCGCGCGCGTGCGCTGCGTGTAATCTATCCGTCGTCGGGCCTCGCGTCGCTCCGGCGGCGGTGTGTAGGGGAGGGGGAGAGCTCTTCGATCATCGGCATTACTGGCCTCCCTCGTGCGTCCTCGTGTCTCGTCGGATCGGCGCGGCGGCCGATCGGCTGGTTCCGTACGCCGCCGCCGCCAGTCTTGCTCGAGCTCGCGCGCGTCACGGATCCTCGCGCTCCGATCCGCCACCGTGGCAGGAATCGGCAATAGTACAGCGGCGCGGAACATCCACCTACTTATCTGTCTGTCTGCCTGCCCACCCATCTACCTACGACGTGTTTTTTTGTGCTTTCCAGCAGTACCGACGTGTGATCGGCCGGCCGTTATTCTCGTCGTTTCCCGTACCTATCGTGCGCGCCTTGGATACGCATGCACGCATGGACAAGCAACAACGACGACGACGCGGCACTGCCCAATGATGGCCGTGCCGGGCTTCACCGTTGACGTAGTGATGTATTATTAGTGGTGCGCGTCGCGGGAAAGTGTGGTGCCGCCTCGCTTCTGTCCGGTAATCTGTGTCTCCTCCGCGAACCGTGCGGCCGATAATAACGCGGAGAGTGTAGCCAGTGATCGCAGGGTTCGACGGGAAGGCACGATACGTTACACCACGTATTTCGGCCCCTCCGTGTGTTGCGTGAGTGAGAGTTTCATATCAGTGCAACGACCGTTTTTCGCTCGCTCTGTGGATTATCATATTGGATATTACTGGTACGCGCTCCGACGACTGGTCGCAGCCCGACGAGCGTCGCACGCCCGATCGACGTTCAGATTCTGGTGAGTGAATTTCTGTGCGGTGCACGCATTCTCGCCTTGCCGATCGATCCGAAATCGCGCGACAACGTCGAGCGCCGCCGCGCGCTTATCGCTCTTGATCGGCTGCCATCTTGTTATTTGTTGTCGCGAGACTTCGCGAACATGTTTACGACGTGAAATCGGTCTAATTTCCGTGGGAGGGAGACACCGCCTTTTACTCGTGACGTATTCCGATTAACCTGCGGGACACTTTTTTTTCGCCGCGTTCATTTCAAGTCAGTACTGAGGGAGTCGATTAATATCGGCGGAACGCGGCCAATGACAGTGCAGTTGTTTGTTTACCGCGTCTGCCATAGCAGCGGAGAGGAACGGTTTTTTAACCTTCACGTGACTCGCGGCGCGTGCTCTGGACGAAATAAAAGCTCGCGACGGTCGTGTAAACATTGCCGAGTGTACGAACGGCCGGAGAGTTTAGCCGTTTGCTCGACGCGGAATTACGTCTCGTTAACGCGCATCACTTTACAACGGAGTCGCGGTAATTCTACTTGGGAAAATTGCATTTTCCGCGAAACACGTTGCAACGGAACGATCTCGCATTTTAATCTCGCGCTTTTTTTCTCCTTTTCGCGAAGTTACGTTTCAGCCGGAACGAATCGGACGATTCTCGCGTCTCCGAATGACGTGCGCGACAGAATTTATTCCCGATCATTATATTTCGCGCGCGCAAAGTCATTTCTTCAATAGAGGTGAATTATTTTCTAATGAAAAAAAAAAAAACACCCTCCCGAGACAGGGATTTTGTGTTATAAAGCTGTCGTCGACAGCGGCGCGCCCGAGGTTACGAAAATAAAGTCGGCGGCGGTCGCGTCATGAAAAATATTTGCGCTTGCCGAATCAAGTTTTATTTGCGAACGATCGGCGGACGCGAGTTAACGACCCGACCTTCCGGAACTTCCTTTTTTCCGCGAAAAGGTCACACGTAGCTGATCAAATCGATTTCCGTAATGTCGCATTTCTCGATGTTACTACTTTGTTGCTTTACCGCGCGAATGTAAAACAACGTCCGGAGTTGAATATCGTGACAGTTAAGTTTTTCCCAGCTCCCCGACGAATATAATCGCATTGTTCTCCTGCTTGGCGCACAGAAGTATCGTTTTCAACGCACGATAATTTCGCGTTCTTTCGATTATTCGCGCGACATTATCGGAAGTAGCCATCGATCGACCACGAGTGCTCTACGCACAGGAAAGGGTCGACAACGTTTTCTAAATGCGGAAGAAACTACCGGAACCCATAAATATCCGTTATCGAACTTCGCGAAGAGAGTATAGTCGCAAGTTTGGAACGTGACTATCTCCGACGAGTCGTCTGAATTATTCACGAGCCCAGCCGTAAAAACCGACAAATCGCGACGAGTGCAATTCGACGATGCCATAGCGAGGCGATCCAGCCCGGGGGTGCAACCAAACGGGAGTAATCCGTACGATCGTATTCTTCGGAGGCGCGTGCGTCGCCCACGGAAATATATTTCAGACGCGTCCGAGGAGAAAGCATTCGGAGCTGCGCGACGACTTCGATGTCCGCCGGTCACGGTATAGTTCGCGTTCTCCTCGAACGATATTATTTCTGGCACGGCACCAGCGGACGGCGCCCGCGATCGATCTCGAACGGGCGATCGCGAACGTCATCGTCGCGTGTGTGCGTCGCGATCGATCGCGCGTTTTCGCTGTCCTTTCGAGGGGGATAAACACGTTTACCGAGACCCCGGAAATAATTACCGCTAAGCAGAGCCGACTCGTCGGCAAATTGAATTGGCTTCGAGTGCCGGCACAGTTCTCTTGGCAGCCATCGTCGCCGTCTCGAATATATATATATATATCTGAGAGACGATCTTGCCGTAAATTCTACTCTCGCGCGGACACCGGCTTTGCCAATGTTTGCAAACAAACTCTCCTCGGGGCCCGCCGCGATTTTGCATTCCGTCCTGACGCTTTTTCTCGTGAGATGCTTCGTTCGTATGCGTTTGCCCTCGACGCGCACTTCGTGCGCGCTCATCCTTTTGGCAGCGTCTTGAATGTTGCCGCAGACAGAGTCTTGCGACAAGAGAAAATGAGAAACGTTTTTGTGCTGTTCCTCTGAGATAAGAAGGAGTAAAAGTATAGCCCTGTCCTCGTACTCCTAACTTTCGTGCCGCTTTACAATTATGCACGCATGTCGGTTGAATTAACATTATTTCAACACGGCAAATGGGAATCGACGCAGTTGAAATCGTTAATGCGCGCACGCACACGTGTAAAACAATTGGTGTGGTGTGCGCGAAGGAATATATGAATAATCGCGCTCATTAAATCTCCGTAATCGCTTTAATCGCAAACGAGAGAAATATACGACGCGGGCGTGTATAATAAGTCGTATATACGACATCTGCAATAACAAGATGAATATTCTATTAGCGAAAACAGTTTCGCGTGCTTGGAAAATAAAATAATAACGGATACACCGGCGAGCTCGCGCGTTCCGACGCGACATACTTTGCTATCACTTCTGTGCATTCAGTGACTACCACCAAGTAATTCGATTACTATCAAGTAATTTATGCAAAGCAGCTCGCTAAACGAAGCGGACAGCAAACTTTTCGACGACAGAATTATTTCTTCCTTTCGAAGACCGTTTTATCGCTCGCCGACCGTCCCTTTCTCATCCGATATCTTCGGAACTTGGCTGAGTTGTACGACGAACTTTTTCTCGGTCTGTCGTGGAATTATTATCATCCCGAGAATTATCTACGTCTTCCGAAAAAAGCGCGGTCTCGTTGCCGATAATGCATGAAACGCATCTTATCAAAGCCGCGTCAGTCGGTTAATAAAAAAAACTGCGGCAGAGGGAAGTATCGTCGGCAATATTATAACTCGACTCGAGGGTTTCTCTGTTGTCTTCGAAAAAGCTGCGGATCATAAGACGTGTTTAGCGAACTTCTCGCGGGAACGTTTATTATATTTAATTTCATACTTGGCCGAGTAGGGGGAGCATCGCCTTCCTCTCGTGTTGTTTCCCTATCTCTTGCCATTATTATTTTTCCGATGGAGGAGCGCCTGCACTCGAATCCACCTATGGTCATAGCACGATACTTAAAGTTCCGTGCCGCTTCGCGAGAAAGCGGCCGCGGCACACGTGCGCGATTTCTCTTCGCTACACGCACATTCCTTCACGATCCATCGGCGCGAGTGCGTCCATTGGCCGACATCCAATTTTTGGCCGCGTTCTCGGGCTCGATTCGTCGCCGCGATCAGCTGGCTAAGTAGCTTTGTTAGCGGAGATCTCCACGCTTACTTTGTGAGAGCAAAAGCTAAGTCGAGATTTCCGCTAAGAAGAAAAAAATCTTAAAAATACGCGACATTAACATAAATATATAAAATTGAACATCAAAAACGTAATATTTCAAACGATTCTCTCTTTCTCCTCTAATCTACTTTAATCTCTATCTATCTATCTCATCTCCCTTATAAATTAGATTACATTGAGAAATGAATTGCTTTCGTGAGCAGCGATACATTCAATATCGCCTGGCGGCTCTCCGAGATTTTCGCGATAAGTTTTCGGGTCAGTTTGCTCTTGACCGCGATTGCATTTGGCTCGGCGAACGCGCGCGATACCGGTACCCCCAATTTCTCCGGCTCGGTGTATCCACGAAGCTCACCATTTCGTTAGGTGCGTTAATGAAATCCGCGAAGATAAACCGCGCGACCCAGATAGGCCGCGTGTGACTTTGGGCGAGGGGAAAGTCCGTTAGCCACTTACGCGCGATCGATTGTGGGCGAGGAATCGATCGTTAGCAGCTGTTGCCCTTGTAATTTGCGCGGAGCCGCGGGAGTCGATATCGTGCAATTAGGTGGAGAAAAACGTCTAAGAGTGCAATCGTTAAATGCGCATGTTAATTTTCTATGGATTAATGTGACTTTGAAATGATGCGCTGGACAAAAATCGCACTAAAAAAAAAATTTAGTGATATTTATGTGCAAATATAATATTGCTCCCCATAATTCCAATTTTGTTGTTCCAGCGGTTTAGCAGGAAATAGCATTTAAAATGGAGTTGGGGACAACTGATCTAGGTCTTCTCATAACGAAAAAATTATTTAAGATGGTCGTACGAAAAAAATAATCGCACGGAAGTTCGTTGCTATTTTGTTGCTCTAAGATAAGCTGAAGAAAAATTCGGGAATACATATAAACATGTTTCAGGAAATATTATTACGTACTAAAAATGCCATGCCAGGATTTCGCAAAAAAAACATTATATTTATCTACTTTCTTTTGACTATCTTAGAGCAACAAAATAGCAACAAATTCTCATATAATTATTTTTTCCGTACGACCATCTTATATATACATATTTTGTTACATTGACATCAACTGTTGGACATTTGTATTTGGATGTTGGTCTTCTACTTACCAAATACGAGGGACTCGTTTACGATTTTCATCTGGCCTAATTGAAATTGCACGATCGATCGGGAATTTGTTAACAAGATAAGTCAGTTCTCGTTGCCTAATAACGCGCGATATCTTCAGAGTGTCGGGGCGAGATGGTTGAAACTACCTTTTTTTTTTCTCTTTTTCTATTCTACTCCCTCTTTCCTCGATAACCTTGAATAGCCGTCGGGTCCTCGAAGGTTACCCGATCGGTTCGGCGTAAATGAATCCAAGCTAATCCGCCTCGAGCCAATATAAACTGTTCTCCCCAGGAGTCTGCTCAGCATTGAAAAATGTTCCACTTTAAGGCTAGATCACATCGCGCGAGCCCGTTGCATCGTTCCTAGTGTTCGTTTATCGAAACGTCGCTATTCTCCAATAACAGGCAGTATAAATATTTCCGATGAAATTCTTCTCGTTTTTCAACTAATCATTTCGCAAGTAAACCGTGTAAATATACAAAGAATTCTTTCAGTAGTTTTCAGTAAAAAAATATTTTCAGAAACTATTTAAGATATCGAACCGTATATTCGAGTCACGTGGGAATAA